ACATATCGACCGACACTGCGATAGCAACATCGGTCGATACTGTCGGCATTCAGATCAATGGACGAGTCTAACTAGCGACAGCTATAGATTTTTCTAAGAATTGAAGTTCTTATATATCATTCATGCAACTTGTTAGGCATCTATAGCATTATAATCCTGATTACCTGAATAGAAACTCTAGATCTAGCAACCATCCTTCCATCCAACAAACCATTGCCAAGCTGAATAATTACCTTGTTCAACTTTTTTATTACTTTATATATATTTACTGCTTTATTACCTATTAGCCTAGTTTAATCATATAACTATTAGATCTTTTAGGTTCCCTAGCTCCCCGTGAATTCGATCCCTAAGTACTACAATTGAACCTTTTATTTGAGAGAGTAAATCACTCCTTAGGGTAATTTGAGTGATATCAATTTGATGTCTCGAAAATCAGGTGGTGGTTTATTCTTATAAAAATAACAGAGATGAAGAAACATAGTAAGCAAACAATTGATAACTCAAGACACTATCAACACGTGAACCATGTGAGAGAAGTGTGGCAATATTTAACTCCCTTTCTCGCCCAACGGCATAAGAGCATAGAACCCACCCGACAAGTACTAGCTGCAGCTATGCTACCATATTTCGAACGTGGTTACCAGCCAGGCGCAGTAGAGGGACTTAAATACCAAAAACGTTCCCAAGAAAATGTCAGAAAGGACACTAAGAACGTAATCTTAAATGGAAAAAAATAGAAAATAATTCTCTAAAATCTTATGGACAGATTACATAAATAAAATTCTGCACTCAGTGCAACAATTTACAGATTTTAAATAAGTAAGACTGCTATCTTTCTCACTAGTTGCATACTCTCCGCGCAAGAGCGGGGCCGAGATTATTGTGTTTGCGTGTATTTTTTTGATTGTTGGTTTAGTGGATTCTTCTATTGACACCAAATAATAAGAAATAAAAAGAATGTAGTAAGAGTGTAAAGTGAAAATATTGTATATACAATGTGTTAAATATTATTTATATGTGAAGTAAGGTTTATAGGAATAGTTAGGCTATAATATAGTTTTTAGTATGTAAAAGTAAGTGTCTATTTTTTTTTTGCTGTAAATAGTTTTTATATCGTAGGTAAAAACTTGATATAATTCTATATTTATAGTATTTATATTTGTATTAAACAATTTATCAATTTGAAAATAACCTTAATTAAGTTAATATTTGTTGTTTCAGTTTCATTAGATAGGTTTTTATATATGTTTTTTGTAAGTTTGGGTTTTGTTCATAAAAGATGTGGCATTTTTATCTACGGCGTCATCGACTGTGAGAATCCATTCGCCGGAGTTTGGAGTCGGTGGTGAGAAATGTTTTCAATGAAATTATAGTAGTTATTAAAATGTAAGAGAAATTACATATTCATTTAATAAATAATGAAAAATACTTACATTTTGTTGTTTATTTTATTTTATTTCACATATATTTGTTTTTGAAAATATATTAGGAATGTTTTAAATATTATTTATATGTGAAGTAAGGTTTATAGGAATAGTTAAGCTATAATATAGTTTTTAGTGTGTAAAAGCATGTGTGTGTTTTTTTTTAGTAAATAATTTTTATATCTTAGATTAAAACTTGATATAATTATATATTTATAATATTTGTATTTGTATTAAACGATTTATCAATTTGAAAATAACATTAATCAAGTTAATATTCAGTTGTTTAAGTTTCATTAGATAGGTTTTTATATATGTTTTTTTGTAAGTTTGATTTTTGTTCATAAATGATGTGGAATTTTTATCTACGACGTCATTGACTGTGGGAATCCATTCGACAGAGTCTAGAATCGGTGGTGAGGAAGGTTTTCAATGAAATTATAGTAGTTATTAAAATGTAAGAGAAATTAATGTAAGAGAAATTACATATTCATTTAATAAATAATGAAAATAATTAACTTTTGTTGTTTTTTTATTTTATCTCACATACAAATTTTTTTGAAAATATATATTAGCAAATATGTGCAATGATTTAACTTTTTGAGCTCTTAATCTATATTATTCAAGTCTCATTAAGCTATCCACGTAGACAACTTAGGAAATATGTGAAAATGATATAACTTTTTGAGCTCTTAATCTATATTATTCAAGTCTCATTAAGCTATCCACATAGACAGCTGCGTATGACTCACTTTTTTTGTTTTTGGTCTGTTTGGTTTTGGATCCATTTTTATTATTTTTAGGTTGAGCTATATTATAATAGGATAGTTTTAAGGCTCTTTAAGCCATCTGCGTAGGCAACCGCATGGGACTTGCTTTTTTTTTTGTTTTTTTATTGTTTGTTTTTTGATCTATTTTTAACTACTTTTGGGTTTGAACTTGTTAAGCTTTAAGGTTTATCCAACTATTTTGATCTTTAAAACAATAAGCCCAAAAAAACATAAAAACCTTATAAACAAAAAACCCATATGATAATAACCCAAATCAAAAAATAAAATAAAAACATGATAGCAACGTGGTTTGAACCCACGATCTTGCATGTTTAATTAGACACCTTATACCACTTGGCTAAAGTATATTTCATTGTTTGTAATCATCTTACCAAAACTATGAGCTTTTAAAAAATATCTACACGACCCACAAAACTGCTGACGTGGCGCGTTGTGGAGCTTAGAAAGTCTACTATTATAATATAGATAGATTCTCAAATGCCGAACATAGTAATGAATACATAGAAAGAAAAATTAATACATAGAAAGGAAATTGTTAATGTCAACGATATATATTCATAAAAAACTAACGTTATTTTATTCAAAAAAAATAACTAACGTAAAGATAAGTATAATAGTTCAAATTTTGTAATATTCAGGTTTCATTCTTACAATATGATAATTTAGAAAACATACCTCTAAATTTGGCCAGACTTTTTAAATAGAATTTACTATCTAAACGAGAAATGACATTCAAAAACCAACATAAGCTTAACCTAACACATAAACAACAATAACTATAGATGTTATAAAGAGCGAGTTGACCATTTGAAGACTAATCGACTAACATTACACACTGCCAACCAAATGGACACAAACAAAAATGCTTAGAAAAATCTTCTCTACTAAAAGAGAATTACCATTTTTATCTACTATAAAATTGTCATAGTAGTAGGACCATATATTCAGTTACATTTTTAATTAAAACAGTAGTTTATTTAATGTATACATTTTTAAATAATTATAAGGATATTAATAACAAATCTATTTAACTGTTAATTTAAATTTTAGTTTTAGTAATAACAAAACTTGTTGAGAAAAAATCTAACAAAATCTTTTTTTTTAAATAATAATTACTTTTTAATTAATGCACTGATTAATGTCGTAATTAGTAGTATAATATTATTATAAATTAATTTTAATTAAAATTTTATTAAAATCAAAATATAATAAAATTAAATGTTAGTTTTATAAATATTATAATTATAGTCTATATTATATTAAAATAGAAGTAATAGATGAATTACATATAAAAATTGTATTAAATTGGTAAACTAATATATTTTGAAAAATACTTTCATTTAAATATATAAATAAAATATCATAAAAAATTAAATTTGTAAATTATGAACATATGTTAAATATTTATACATATAACTATATATTATCTGTTTATTGATTTAAAAAAAATAAAAGCAATATATTATCTAAAAATGATTATATAAAAAATAATATAAAATTTTATTTATAAAATGAAAGGTTATCCACACAGATGTGTCGATCAAAATATAATTTATATTTAAAACAAAATAATAATACATCTCATCCTGCCCGGAGCGCGGACTTCCCCTAATTTAATACTCCCTCTGTTTTTAAAAGATCTATATTCTATTTTGTTCACACTTTTTAATAAACCACAATAAATTTGCATAGTTTTTTTGTATTTTTCTTCTTTCCATAATTTTAAACCAATAAAAAATCAATTAGTACAATTAAATTTTTTGAAGTTTACAATTAGTTAATAAAACATGCATTGAAAATGTAAAAAATTGATCTTTTAAAAACAATTGTTTTTCTATAATATGTATCTTTAAGGAACAGAGGGAGTATATACGATTTTTACAAACTATTATTATTTCATAATAAGTAAAAACACATAAATAATTCTAGAGTGACCTCTTTGAAGCCAGTTGCATATTCTCAGGAGGGAAATCTGAGTGTTCCTTTAGGAGGATTCACATCTATCTTCTCGAATGTAGGAGCCACTACGGTTAGAGAACAGTCGAGGTGAAGAAGAAGAAGAAGAAGAAGAAGGAGGCAAGTCAAATTGAATAGGCGTTAAGCACGAGCTCAATCGAGTTGTCATGTATAGATTTGTTCGCATCTCATACTTTTTTTTCTAATTTGTTTCACTGAAAAAAGAGATAAGAAGCAAATTTAGTTTGGTTCCATGGTTTAGGATTATAATAACTGTAATAAATTAGAGCAAGTTACTAACCAGTTCTATAAATCGGTAGCAAAATCGTGTAGTTTATTGACCCATTTAAAGTGAATCAAGCGGGAAAAGAAAAAAAAAAGAAGAAAACTAAAGCCATAATTGGTTTAACTAAACCGGTTTTGATGTTGGTTACATGGCCGACATTTAGTAAAACAATTACAAAACGGTGCCACTTTAGAGTTTAGATGATTACACGGGAAAAACAAACGAAAGCTATAATTGGTTTTTTTTTATCGAAAAAGCTATAATTGGTTTAAGTAAACCGGAAGCGGTATATGATGTTTGGTTCACATCGCCGACTTTTTTTTTGTGAACAACATAATCAAACCTAGATTTGCTTATTTTATTTCTTTTTTCGGAAGAGTCCAATTAATCAGTAAATTGTTGACTCTATATATAGTGAGAGAGACTAGAGTCCATCGATCACCTCTTTGCTTTGTTGATACGCTAAACAAAACAAAGAAACAAAAAATCACTCTCACGAAGAAACCCTAAAAAGTCTATTGATTGTTTTTTCCACGAACGATGGTGAAAGGCACGAAGAGGAAGGCTGTGATGGAGAAGATCACGAAACGTGAATCTGCGGCAACGACTTACACGAAACGAACAAACGGTCTCCACAGCAAAATAGCACAGCTCTGTCTTCTCACGGACGCGCAGATCGCCGTGTTGGCCACTCCTCCTTCTGCCAACTCCAACGTAAGCTTCTTCTCCTTCGGTCACANATGGTGAAAGGCACGAAGAGGAAGGCTGTGATGGAGAAGATCACGAAACGTGAATCTGCGGCAACGACTTACACGAAACGAACAAACGGTCTCCACAGCAAAATAGCACAGCTCTGTCTTCTCACGGACGCGCAGATCGCCGTGTTGGCCACTCCTCCTTCTGCCAACTCCAACGTAAGCTTCTTCTCCTTCGGTCACACTTCCGTTGACTCCATCGTTAAGGCTTATCTCACGGGAGGAAAACCTGTTCGAGAAGAAAGAGATGATGATGATGAGGACCTTGGGATTTGTTTTGCGAGAAAAGAATTAGGGTTACCTCAGTGGTGGGAGAGCGATCGTCTTCTCACAACTAAGAATCCCGAGGAACTGATGCGTGCCATGAACTCTGTTTTGAGATTGTTGGCAAAAATAAAAGCCTTGCGTGCACAAGACGCATATAATCATCAAGGTGAAGAGCAGCCTCCTCCTCTGAAGAAGATGAAGAAGAGTAACAACAACGAGACAGTAGAGAAAACAGAACCCACGGAACAAACCCTAGTTCTCCAGTCCGGTTCTAGTGAGGAACGTGTCGAAACCCTAGAATACAACAATGTTTTGACAGATGAGGAGCTTCAGATCATGTCTACTTGTGATAGTCTTTGTGGTCCACACAACAACAACAACGATTCCTTGGAGATTGATTTTGATCAACTCATTGATCTTGATCTTGATTTTGATTTTGATTTCGAATCTCTTGATTCTTCTGACAACAGCGAGACCTTGAAGATGGCAGGAGAGCCTGTGGATCAACCTCTCATTCTCCAAGACAAGAACAACAACAACAACGCCTTTTCAACTGGAGAGATGAGCTTAGATTACTCTGAGATTGATATCCATCAATTCAGTGATTTTGACTTGGACACCACTTCAGTGTTCGTTGATGATTTGATTTTGGAGTCTACTAACTCTGCGTTATTGAACTGGGTACCTTCTGTTGATGATGGCTTTGTGGACACTAACAGTATTCCAGAGCAGTTTCAAGAGACTACCAATAGTAGTTCTGCATTGAACTATTATGATGATGCATCTGCTTTGAATGAAGAAGACACCATCTTCTCTGATTATCTCACTCAGCTTCTGCAGTTTTGAAGAGCTTATTAGTTCTTATTCTTAATAACTTCTGTCTATTAACTTTTCGTATGTCTTTGTTATTCATGTAACAGTCTGGTTTGATCTCTGATCGATTTTCCATCTCAGGGTAATTGATCAAAACTCAAACCCTTCTGCTTTTTGATTAATTGTATAATTTGACTTCTCTGTCATGTTTGTTGCACTGTGCAAAAGTTATTCCAGTCCACAAATATATTCTAACGCTTAGTAGACTTATTACCTTCAAGATTCAAACTTGTAACATCTAATCAGTTATAAGAATGATAAAACTCGAACTCATATAAGTAACGAAACCTCTTACAATAACCAAACTTGTAGCTTCTTTATAAAAGTCAAAGTCTTCCTACTTCATCATCATCCTAGAGTTAATTCAATGGGTCTAACTTTCTTCTCCTCTCTCTTCAACTCCACTGGATACTTTCCTGGCGAGTACCACTCCTCACTCACTTCTCTTCTCTCTGGCCAGCAACCCTCTTCAGGGGAAGCCTCTTGGTCCAATATCAAACTCACCCTCGGTATCTTACTCTTTGCCTCCTCTGTTGGTGATCTTGCTTCACTCAGAAGGTTCTTCAGCAGGACGTGCTGCTCCTTAACTGTTCTCCAGCTTGCTGTCTCTTCTCCATACTGATCTCTTGGTTCTTCGACAGAGCTACAACTAGTGATGATGACTAAGAGTCGTTTTCCGGTCCCCTAACTCCATCACTATGTCCTGTCCCATCAAACAACGACTTGGCTATTAGAATGATATATACATAAAGGGTGAAATCGCAGACGTACCTGAAGTTGACTCAAACGCATTGGAAGTATTATTTATAGTGACCAGCGGACTGTTGAAATCGCCCAAGAAGCGAACATTATGATTATCATCAATAAAAAGGCTTTTGGGATTTGACTGGTAGACACAAGAAATTGCCTGGAAGACAAAGCCCAAATATATGTCTACGCCTAAGAGCGTTATCCTCAACCGCAAAGCTCTGATTGTGTTGAGCCTTTGACTCTTACTTCCTTGATCTGAGCTTAGATGTCTATCACATATACTAGCCAATACAATCCACTTAAATTTATTTCGGAGGCAAGAACCACATGTGTCAATCATCAATTTGAATACATAGTATATTTACCATATATAAGAATGGATACACTACAGTACCATAAATTAATACTATCTGAAGAATCTGTACTTCATTTTACACGAGTACCCAAAGAAAAGGATTACTTGCTAGTGCTATACATGCAATATAACTATTTAAGAAGACGTATCGGATAATATTGAAAAAACAAGTGGGAGAAAAGACAAGGAACGCATGTATTAACCAACCAACAGTTTGGAAACCGAAAACATTTTTTTTTTTTTTATAAATGTAGAGTCAGAAACATACATCAAAGTTTATCTGGTAAATACATATATACTACGTTACATCTTAGTTACATATATGGTAATCTCCGAAAGAGATTTTTTCATTTGCACGTAAAATGGAGATAGAGAAACACAAGGAGCAATACAAGAGGAAACACCAAGAGAAGTGGGAAGATGGTGGAGCCACTGGTCCCATCATAAGCGGAACGAACAACAACATTATAACAACGACTACAATCGCCATAATCGAACCCATTCCAATTCCATATTCATTCGCCATTTCTTCTTTTATCTTCTGATTCGGTATGTCGTAAATTTTTGTACAAGTGTCCGCCTGTTTTGGACTATTTATAAAGATATTCAGACATCTATCGGCACTTGTGTCGTTTGCCCACGAATTAGACACAGCGCTTCGTGTATCGTTGCATAACAAAGCCTTTGCGCACGTTAAAAATATTAACCTTAAAAAAAAAAAAATTAACCTAAACACTCAAAACGCTACGTTTTTGTTGTTTGTTACCACCACGTCTTTAAAACGCAGCGTTTTTGTATTTCAATTGTTGTGGAAGTCTCAAATGATATTTTAAATTTCCGTAATCCCGTCAAAACTAAAAAAGGGAAAGACTTTTGGAAACTTATTTTTCTTGTGACATCTATACTAACAAACCCGAAGTTTCAGGAGACTCTTCGAAAAAGCCATGTGACATCGTTACAAAGAAATATAAATCCTTTATATATTAATTGGGAAGCATTCCAACGACATGTTTTGATAGCTACATGTTATTATGAGAATGTTTCTCAAATTTAATAGAGAAAATGTTAGTCCATATAAACATATAATATACTTTTTATTAAATTAATAATAAAAATATTATTAATACCAATCATTATTTCCTTAAATAAAATTTACGGAATTACCTAATATAGTTGTAATATATATATATATATATATATATATATATATGACAATTAATGATTTGAATATAAAAGATTTGATAAAAAATTGTATAGCATCTATTCTTTTTGTTAAATTTATATTGTGAAAATAAATTAAACAATAACATCAACTATCTAACAAAAAAAAGAGATTTTTATATATGTTATATTTTACATTTTTATAAAAAACTATAAATTAATAAAAAAAATAAAAAATTTCACATATAATAATTTTGATTAATATTTTAAACTTTTTTGTTATAGCAGGATACAAAAATTATATAATTAAGAAATATCATTTAATAGATATTTAAATAAGATAATATATATATATATTAGTGATGTTTAAATTAAACTAAATATCATTTAAAATACATAAATATTTAATTCCAAAATTTCATTGAATAAGTATTGAGAACTTAATACTTTAATGACAAACTTTGAATTTATTTATTTTTAAACGATGATAAATTATTGTAAATATTAAATCTCTCACATTAAAAATGATGTTATCAATATTTTAAATTTTTTATTATAAAAATATAAAAATGATCATAAACCATGTAAGTGTGAAACTTCATTTATTATATATAAAAATTAAAAGTATAATATAACCATGTAAGTGTAAATAAACAAATATGATTATTTTATGTAAGTGCTCACTAAATTAATTATTTATATAATAGTTACAGAGTCAATTATTCAATATATATATTTTTATTTTAAAATATATAAAATAACACAAAATAAAGAATAAGAGATAAAATCATTTATATATATAATTCTCATCCCGCGCAAATGCACGGGTATTAACCTAGTACACAATATAAGGAGTAAATACAGAATTAAAAAAAACGGAAAGAGTACATTAAACATTAAATATACATCTTAAAATGTAAAATACAAATATTAAGTAAATATATAATATAATTCAATACATACACAATTTAAAAGAATGGAAAAAGTACATTAAATTTAGATATCTATTTCAGAATGTAAAAAAGTACATTAAAATTTAGATATCTATTTTAGAATGTAAAATATAGATATTACGTAAATAGAAAATATAAGAAATGGAAATACACAGCTTAAAAAATGGTAAAGTACATTAAGATTTAAACATCTATTGGTTAAAATTATCAATCTACACAACTCCTTATTGGCTAAGAAAAGAGAAGTAAGGAGAAGAGAAAAATAAAGAAAAACAAAAATCTGTGTGTTTATTTATGTTGTCCATTTAATGTTGTTTAGATTCTATTAATGTGTATAAATTTTATCAAAAAATAGTTTATACTGTTTTAAAACAGTGTATAATTCTTCATATACTTTGATAATTTATTTTATAAAAATTGGTTTAGGGTTCAATATTTAGAAAATATATAGGAAATGATGGTTAAATATAATATATATTGTTTAGTAGTTTAATGTAATATTTTTATAATATAGAATTTGTAGTTTGGGAAATAGGATTTGAGTATAAATGTTAAGGCTTAAATGTTAAGATTGAATGTAAGAGTTTATGGTTTTGTATGTAAGATTTAAGTTTTTAGGTTGAGGGATTGAAGTATGAAATAGAATTTGAGTTTATATGATATATGATTTGAGAAAAGGTTTTGAAAAGATTAAGTTTATATATTTTATATTTAAGATTTAGATTTTAACTTTAAAACATTATAACTGGAGTTTGTTTTTGAGACATAGGGTTAAAGTATGTAGTTTGAGGTTTAGATTAAGATTTAAAATGGAGTTAAAGAATTAAGATAAAAATAAATTAATCAAAGGCTCAAGAGAAAACAATACAATATGTATTTTTATTTCAATATAGTTATTATAAATATGTGATTTAGGGTTAAGATTTGGAATAAAGTATATGGTTTGATATTAAGTTTTGAAAAGATTAATTTTATAGTTATATCAAAAATTGAGAGTTTAAGTTTTAAAATAATATAATTAGAATTTGTATTTATGGCAAATGGTTTTAGGATTCTAGTTTAGGTTTTAGATTACGATTTAAAATGGAATTTAATGCTTTGAGATTAAATATTTGAGTTTATGTATATGGTATATGTTTGGAAGTTTATATTTGAAATTTGTTAAAAAATTTAAAATTCATATTTGAAATGTATATCTAATGGATGTATGGTTTATGTATGAAGTTATGGTTTAGGTTATATATAGTATGGTTTGAAGATTTAAAGTTTGTGTTTTGGAAATTATAGGTTAAAAAATAAAATTTTATTTATAATTTTTGATTAAACAATAATATTTATATTTAAGCTTTGAGTTTAAAGTTTAAAATATTATAATCAGAGTTTGTATTTAGGGTTTAAAATGTATTTAGGGTTTAGGGATTCACATAGCCACGACAAAACGGTGGCTAAATCGTGGCTAAGACACTAGCCACATATGCAATTGTGGCTAAACCGTAGCTACGGTTTAATAAGAAAATAAAATATTTGCCTCGAAAAATTTTAAAGCGGGAAAATGAAAAAAAAGATAAGTGGGAATTGAAATTTACAAAAAACCACGGTAAAACAGTGGCTAGACCGTGGCTATGTATCTGACCACGAAATATTTAGTGACAAAGCTGTGGCTTATTACCTAGCCACAAAGTTTTTGTGGCTGTGATCGTGGCTATTTAATTTTACTGTGGCTAATTAAAAATCGTGGCTAATCCGTGACAAAAACGTGATTTTTTTTAGTGTAGCCACGGTTTTGGAGTGGTACTATCGTGGTTATACGATAGATTTTTACTAGTGTAAATATATGTCGTCTTGATTAAGTGAGAAGCGGACGTGACAGCCAGTCAAGCAAAGTTTGTGTTTCCATGATCGGTTGGTTGATTCTTCTCATGTTTAAAAGGATGGTCTATATATAGCACAGCTTGTGATGTGTGAAAGACAAAAATCTACCAAAATATGGTCTTCTTAATTTGTTTGATTTCTGGTTATTAGACTTGAGTTTGTACATATGTTGTGGTGTTTTGATCAATGTCACGAGTTTCGTGTTGGTCAGATGATTTCTATAGGTTATCAGAGGATGCAATTAACTCAAAGATATAACCCAGTGAAACAGTTGCATTGGAGATAATTAGGCAACAGTAATAACAAAATACACGAAGACGCTGACTCCTGTTTTATGAAAAGACAGACAATATTGCTCTGTTTAGTATTTGTCATCTAAACTAAAACTTTGTCTACAAGAATAAAACAGCCAATCAGATAACGCACATGACAACTTGTGGACTAACAGAAGAAATATGAGAGATGCAACTTATTGATATCCCAAAAGGGAATCTCCACCTAACCCTTAACTGTTATTTGTTTATTTGAATAAAGGCAACTAAAACATGATTAATTTACTGTAATCAAATCTGGATCCCCTTCCTAGCTAGTCTTATTGTTCCTCACCTTTCCTTGTCTTCGTTTGACATTCAGACAATATCTTCGGGGACCATGTCGGATTATGCTAAAGACGCATGGCGAAAATATCTGATACAGCTCCAAGCTCACCCTTTACGAACCAAGGTCTTCACTTTTTTTTTTTCAAATCAAAGATTGTTCCATGGTCATTATATCGTTTATAAAAGTTTTGTTTCTGTTTTTCTTTTAACTCTTTGTTTGTTTGTTTGTTTGTGTGTGTGGGTCAGGCGATCACTGCCGGGGTTTTGGCAGGTTGCAGTGATGCCATAGCTCAGAAGATCTCTGGAGTTAAAAAGATTCAGTTCCGTAGATTGCTTCTCCTTATGGTTTCGTTCCTTTCTCTCCTCTCCGATAGATCCTATGATTTCAACACCTTTTTCTTGTTTCTTAATGTGATGATGATCATCTCTCTGTGTAGTTGTATGGGTTATGTTATGGTGGGCCATTTGCTCACTACTTCCACAAACTGATGGATGCTCTTTTCAAAGGCAAGAAGGACAATACTACTGTAGCCAAAAAGGTTTTGCCTTTCCCTTTCAAACGTTTTGTTCTACTTCAGTAACATAGTTTCCTTTGAATGCTTTTTCTTTAGTTGATGTTGAGATATATTCTGAAACCTTTTTTGCTGCAATATGAAGTTGAATGTGCTTGAAACTCGAATTAGAGCCATAAAGTAGCCTCTTTTTTTTTCTAGAAATTAACTTGTATTCTAGTAGTTCCACTTGCATCTCCTGCACTGTATCGTTCTTAACAAAAAAACTGTGTTGGAGCAGGTTTTGTTGGAACAAGTTACATCCTCTCCTTGGAACAACTTTCTTTTTATGTCTTACTATGGTTTAGTAGTTGAAGGTACAGTTAAATTTAATTCCCTTTTTGTTTCTATCTTTGTTGGGTTATGATTTTAGAGTAAGATCCTTGCAATGTTTTTTTACAGGGAGGCCATGGAAGCTAGTGAAGCACAAAGTTGGGAAAGACTTCTCTACCATACAGTTAACAGCCTGGAAGGTAAAAAACGTTGTAACTTTTCTATAACAGTTATTAAACCAGGAAACATATACATTTTAATGCTACATTTTGACATTGTTGTTCAACTTGGTGGTTCTGATTTCTGAAACTTTTTGTATGTAACACAAAGTTCTGGCCTATTGTGGGATGGATTAATCATCAGTATGTCCCTCTGCAATTCCGCGTCTTGTTCGGCAGTTTCATCGCCTCTTGCTGGTAAACAAATCTCTTATCCTTCTTTCGTGTCTTTGTTATTAAAATGATTTGTTGTAACGTTTTTTTTCTTCCGGATATACATTCAGGAGCATTTTCTTGAACCTGAAAGCGCGATCCGCAGTGATCAAGAACGCATAGACAACTTCATCTGGAGGAATACAAGCCTGAATCTCCTTTTCCCGAAGTGCACAAGCTCAAAGAAGTGTATCTTATGTAATGTTACACCGAGACATGTATTACATAATTCAAATGCAATACCAAAAAAAAGTCTATAGTCCCTTGTAGACTAGTATTAGCAGTGCCCTCTAAGTAAAGACTCTGGTTCCAATTGGGAAAGTTTGGAGTCAAAGAGAGTAAATACTAAAGCGAAAAAGAGAGGAAACTTAAATAAGTGAAACTAGGTGGCTGGCCTGCAGGCATTAAAAATATTAGGCTAGTTCAATCCGTATTTCAGTTCAGTTACGGTTTAATTTTTTCAGTTTTTCGGTTTTGGATTTTTCGGTTTTTCGGTTTTGATTTATAAAAGTTAGCTACCATATTAGAACCATATCTAATTTTGTTTGGTTTAGTTTTTATACTACCTTTTTTTTTGTTTATTCGGTTTTATACCATAAAACAATATTTTTATTTGATTTTATATTATATGAATTTTATATAGGCATATTGTCAAAACTATCATTTATTAAAAAAAATCTTGGATATTTATAAATAATCTAATGTCAAAAATAACAAACAAAATGATCAATGATAGTTTTTTGAAGTTCTTCTTGTCTTCTATGTTATTTCAAAGAAATTTCATGTTACCATCTAATTGCTCAATTTTTAACGCATGCAAAATTAAATTACATCAAAATTTGATAATATTTAAAGAAAAAAATAAAAAATTATAAGACATACCTTCACTCTGTCAATTACTCAAGGTCAAAAAGAAAAAAGAAAGTAAAATAAAAAATGTATTTCAAAAGAATAAGAAGTTAAGAACTTTTGGCTACAGTGAGTAAATATTTTATTGTTTAAGTGTTTTTAAATTAGAAATTATTTAATGTAAATATATATGGTATTAATTATTAACATAAAAATTAACTTATATAACAATTTAGTTATCATGTACCGTTATATAATATATATATATATATATATATATTTATATGTTTTTACTTTTATTGGTTTTATTCGGTATATTCGGTTTAATCAATTATAAACCTAACCATATCCAAATCCTATATTTTTCATAAAATCATATCCATTCGGTTTATATGGTATATACCAAATCTAATCCATATTGTCTATTTGATTCGGTTCCATTCGGTATGGTTCAGTATTACCATATTGAACACACCTAGTAATATCCAAAATATGAAAAAGTTAATTGTGTTTAGTTTTAGAAGTTGTTATTTTATATTATCATTATGTAAAATTGTGTGGTGTTGTAGCTGTATATTTTGGGTGTAATATTCTACTTATGTTTTTTTATATTTTTGATAAAACAGTGATATATCAGATTGTTAAACAATACAAAATTCGTAATATAAAAAAAATTGCCACTTAGGTTTTCATATTTTGGGTGAAATATGGGAATATTTTACTCCATGTGTCTTTTACATGGTTTTAACTCTTTGACATAAGAAACTTGTTTTTTGGGGTTGAACCATCGCCATATAAAAAGTTTATTGCTTTCAATTGTTTGGAAATGTATTTTACTAAGTTCTAGTCGATGTTTAAAACATAAATAAAAAAGACTTTTTAAGAAAAAATTGTTAGCAAAAGAGAAATATATTTGTATTGTAAGACCTTGGAGGTCTACTTTATATATAATCTACCTTCCACGTTTGAGACTTATTAGCGTAAATTTATTTGCCTTATAATAAAACTTTGGAAGATATATACATTATTAACATCATGAAAGAATTTAGAGAGAATGCAGTAAAGCTTAATTGTTATAATTTTGTCGGCAATAATTGCATTATATACATATCACAAGCAAATATATCACAAAATAATTTTGTCGGCAATAATTGCATTATATAAATATCACAAGCAAATATATCACAAAACGAATAATACATAGATTAAAGCCAATCACAGAACATTTTCGAGAAATAAATTAAAACTAAATTGCTATATTGTGGTTTGAAATAATTGCATATGAACTATAGCAAGAAATATATAACAAAAAGAAATTATAACATTTAATGAACTAACTAATTAGGAGCATTTAGAAAAAAATATACTTATTACAATATCATTTGAATATTCGAATATAGTAATATATAGTAGTAATACTTATGTTCATTAATGACTAAGACTAATAAAGATCAGTATCTAAAATAAAGCTAATCACAAAACAATTTAGAGAAAGAAATTAAAGTTAAATTTCTATGCTTAAGTTTGCAATAATTTGGTATATGAACTAAAGTAGTAAACTATAAGGAAAAAAAATTTAATGAATTAAGTAATATTCAAATGTATTGTTTTAGGTAAAATAATGTTTAATAACTTTTTTCGTATAATCTAAACCTAGAATAATTATGTTTTATCATTTATATTTTATATGGAAGAATTTTTTATAAGCGATTATATTTTTGGGTTATAGTATTATGAAATTGAATATATTTTGGAGATATATTAAAATATAGTTAACATTAATCCGCATACTTGGAATATAAAAATATAGTTAATATAAAGCATTGTGCAGTGCTCTCTCCATCTCATCAAGGGTGTGTCCACTTTCGCACCTCTCAAGATCGCGGAGACCATGTTTGTGTCGTGCAGAATCTGGAGTTTTGCTTGCATCATCATGTATGTCATTACACATTTATTATCTCCTTCAAAGGATGATGGATATAACAAAATATATTGAAAAATGATTTTACCCCGGTTTCTAGAACAAAATCGGAGCTCTTAATGACTTTAGAAGCAAATGCAAGTGTGTTAACAGACTCAATCTGTTTGAGTTTCTATACATGAGCATAGCTCTATTCAGTAGACTCCAGCTGCAAAAAGTATTCACAGTAACTGCACATAACATCAAGACATTCATAACACAATTTTTTTCAAGAGCCTATGATTAAAGGAAGTGGAATCATGAAGTTTACAGTTTCAAGCACTTTGACTTCTGGCAGTTACATCGCTTACATGATTCTCCTTCCCCAGCTTCCACCTTAACATTGTGTGTGTTTCACACTGAAACGGTTATCAAAACAGAGAAAGACAGATTACTTTCTCTCAGGACAAACAAACTTACCTCTTCTTCTTAGAGCTGCTCAACGCAACTCTTCCAAGGTTGGTTCAATGGGAACATTTTTGAAGGTTTCAGTTTCAGTTTGGTCCAATGTTTCTTGCAGTGTAGAGCTTGAGCCATATAGACCAACTTGATACTTCTCAAAACATGAGAGTAATCATGAGTGATATTGGTTTTACTGTCCTTTGTTGACATTAAAACGAATTTTAGATGACGACGAGGATCCACAAGCTGCATTGTTATTCTCGCTGAACTTATTCTCATTGGACGTTTGCCTACTCCCTAAAATCAAGAGAACAAAAATGCAAGAACACCGAATGTAAGTAAATTCATTGAAAATGAACTTTGACGGATTTTTCAAGTTCTCTTGGATCGTTTAAAATATTTAGACACCCATTGAAACCCTAACAATCCAGAGCTGCTACCATACAAAACCAAGACTTTATATCACCCATGGAAACCCTAATTCCCAAATTCAATTGAAATCAAAGGGGATATATCAAAAGAATCCAAAAACCTTGTTATCATTGTCAAATGAATCCCATACGAACCCGAAAAAAACCGACGAAGGTAACTTCTTCTCCCATACAGAATCGGACGAAGCATCTGAGAATCAAACCATTAAGAACAATGATGTTGCAAATCTCCGGTGGCATTAGGTGTTCAGAAGAGAGGGGTTGAAGAAAGATAAATGAATAGTTTAACGAACAATAAAAGTCTAACTATTCTTTAGTTTTTGTTTTCAGTTGTTTGGCAATGTATTTTACTAAGTTCTAGATGTAATGCTCGGTTGTGTTTAAAAACTAAATAAAAAAGAAAAAAATTCAACCAAAGAAATTATAAGGATTTTAATCAAAATGCTTGTATGAGTGCCACGTCATCAGAAGTCACTAAAGTGACTTCTCGTTTAATATATAGGGGGATTAGGAAATAGAAGATGTAAAAAAATTTCTACTTAAAGTTTCATATGAACTTTTACAAATGTGGGAGCTTTTCTATGTTTGTCTCATTCTCATGACCTAATACTGAAACCAGATATGGCTATATGCAAGCACTTGATAGTGACTTGAGTCTTCTTCAAGTGACTACCTCAACTCCGAGCTGGAACAGACTTCATCCACCTAAGAAGTTAAAACTCAAGTACCATGTTGATGAATGATGAGTCCTGTACAGATACAAGCGCAAAATGATTACGCCTTCTCAAACCTATACTTTCATTACTTTCTAAAGCTTCCTCTCGATGCTACCACCAAACTGAATCCACTACCTCTACTTTATACTCAAACCATACATTCAAGAGTTTGACACTCACCTCAATCTACTTCTTTTGCATCTGCTTTCTTCAACGAGCACCATGAATCATTACTCCCTGCTTAAACTAGATCACCACCAGGTCCAAACCAAAATAAATAACACAATCATAAAGCAATTCCGGCGTGAACACTAGGACTACTAACAAACATAATAATGAAAGCAGCTAAGACTGTAGTTATAAGTCTTCTGAAACTCAAGATTAGAGTAATTTGAAATTATAACTTAATAGAAGAAGCGAGACTTATTGTAAGTAAATATCACAATGCTTATCCAAGATTCAAGCAGTCCAACACCTTTGTGAAGTTGAGGAACCTTTGTTTTGTGCTGAACTCTTCTTGGTGGGGATCCAAAAACCCAGAGTGGTAATAGTCGCTTCAAATAGTGACAATTGGCCCAAACCATCATTGTCCACCACCATAACCTTGTGACGGGCCAGATCGCCATGATCCATCACCGTTTCCACCTCCCATGTAGCCACCACCATTACCAGAGTGTTTGAACCTCCAACACTAGGGTGTCCTCCAACTTCACCATATATACAGCTTGATTTCCATAACCAAAATCACTTCCACCGTACCCTCCATATCCGTACTGTGACTGGGCGGAGGGAGCTACCCCGGGAACTCCATATCCACTATGAGTAGCACCATTCCCATAGCCTCCAGGGTTCCCATAGCCACTAGGAGCTTGAGTGTCCCATGACTTCCTCGGAGCAACTCAGTACTACTTCCATAACATGCACCTGGCATGCTCGTTGCTCCATATGGAGCACCAGCACCATAACCTCCAGCAGAACTAGTGTAACCTCCGTATCCACCAAA